AAGCGCATCCTGTCAAAAACCCTACTAATCCCTCAAGTCCACCCAAAGCGATGCCCACAGAGGACACTCACTCAAATTCAGAGGCTGAAAATTTCAATCACGAGAATGACTCCCAACACACGGAAGGTAGCGTCCGTACTTTGGTTTTAAGATCGCGCAAGCTCTCCACCTACACCTCGCCCTACTTCGAGATGATCAACATCGGTCATGAGGGCTTCGTAACCCCGGTTTATGAGATTTCATTTTGGCGAAGCCTTGCTCATCTTGATGTTTGGCTTGTTTTCTACACAACGTTTGTGATGTGGGGTATCGGCATGACCATGACGGGAAACTGGAATATTAAAACCATGCTCGCTGCGCGGGATCCAAACACCACCTACGCGAAGTATATTCTTTTTGCTTCCATGTCCGGTATTAGTGCAGCTACAGGGCGAACTTTCATTGGAACCTATGAGGAGGTTCTAAACAGGATGTATTTACGTTTTGGAACCCCAATGGTGTCTACGTGGGCCTACCCCGTTGCTTCAATTGGGATGTTTATTTCTATGATCTTATGGATTGCCCTTCCGGGTAATTATGCTATGATTATTCCCTACATTTTGGGACCTTATATGTTCGGTATGAGCCATTCGATGACATTTTACATTCTCAACACCATGTTTGACCGCGACATTGGGATGCATTACAGTTTCTCCTTCCTTGCCGCGGCAATTGGGCTCTTTATTTTCTATTACTTGGTATGGTTTCTGCCGTACAATCATTATTCGACTGTTTACCCATTTTATGGTCGTATTTGCGTCGGTAAACGGAAGTGCATGAATACAACCCTTGCTATTTACGTTGCCCTTTCATTCAGCAGCATATTAACGTCATTCTGGTTCCACTTTCGCTACAAGAAACTCCTTGAGGGAAAGAGATCCAAGGAAAGGGAAACTTCATGAAGGTTCCTACACAATGCAATTGGTAAGTAAGGGTACATGCAGTGTACAATTTTTATTTTCCATTTTCACTTACATTTGATTCTTTTGGAGCATATACACATTTTTATTTACCCATTAAAGTGCCAAAAATAAGCTTTAAGTAAAAGTCTAACACAGGTAAGGGTACTTTCTAGTTACTTGAAAATAGGTTTTGATTTTTTATTCAATAACTAAAACTGAGACTTTCTTTTGAGAAGGATCAAAAGCTTTAGGGATAACAGCGAGAAATCTTTTCACTCAATAGCGTGTGTGATAAATTTATTCATGTTTACAGCGCTATTATTTTATTGTAGCAGGTTTGACAGCGTATATGTATTACATAATTTTTATTATTTCTCATGCATATACGAACATCGTTTTAAAATTATTGTATTATATTATAATATTAACTAGAACTAATATATATACATGGTATATTTTCTTTATTTTTTTCCAGGTACTTATTTCAAGTCATCAAATGCTTGTCATGAGTGAAATATGCATACCCCTCTATATATCCACGTGCTGAAGTGATTACTATTTTGTTTTTGTGCTATTACAACTTTATTGATGGAAAATAATCTGATACGGCATCTCGGGTAATTATTTATAGAATGTAACTCTTGCTTAGGATGTCTTTGTAAAATAAAGATTGAAACCATATTGTATGATACCCTTGTTCGTATTAGGATTAATTTTTTTGATTCAAAATATTGGAAAATATTATCAAAAGGAAAGGCGATCCGAAGAAGAGGAATAAGGCCTACGAGCCTATTCTTTTCATCTTAGTAGTTTTGTTGCTATAATGAATTATTCTATTATTGTGATCGCTCTAAATAAATCAACTTACAAAAATGGAAAGCAATATGGAATACGTTCATTATAGTTAATAAATAAATTTATAGTACTGAAACCAGTGACTTTGTTTGTAGTGATTCTATTGGGACTATATGAATTTCATTGAAGATCAGTATTTCATAAAAGATTGCATAGGCTGAATTTCTTTATTTCATTATATTTTGTCCATTCTATGGTTATTCAATGTAACATAATCACAACCCGATTCAATTGTATAGGTATGGCCTAATACAGTGTTATTTGGTATTATTATTATCTGTACAGCATTTCAATAACAATAACAAGTTACTTGTTCACCTCTTCCATTCTATAACCTTGGGGTAGTTATTAGCGTGCGTCCACACACATATATCTCTCTCTCTATATATATTTATCATGCAGCGGTACAACCCTGTTTTATTTAATCGGCAGACAACGCTGCTCTTCCTTCGCACGCAACCCGGCGTGAGAGCGCACCCGTTCCGGTGCAGGCGTCTACCAGGGATGGCCAGCCTCACCTCCTTTCCAATTGGCTATTTGAGGTTGTACAGACAACTCCACACGACGTCTTCGCCCGCCTTTTCCACAGAGGGGTTGGAGGACCTCCTGCAAAGCCGCGCACAAAACACCACGGACGACTACCCGCTCAAGGCGGTTCTCCCACGGGAGGTGGGGAACGCCGGTGGGTTTGATTGGGCGAGTTGGCCCTTTCTGTCATGGCCGCGTGACGTCCAGTTT